CCTCTCTCTCTCTCTCTCTCTCTCTCTCTCTCTCTCTCTCTCTCTCTCTCTCTCTCTCTCTCTCTCTCTCTTCCCCCACCTCTCTCTCTTCTTTCTCCATCTCTCTCCATCCGTCGTTACCACAAATACACCTTTCAAAGATATGCAGGCCAAAGGGCTATAGCTATTGATCAAGCTTTCCAGTACGTTAAAAGCCTAACTCTCTGCGAGAAACAATTTAGGTCATATGGGAGAGGTTCAGCACTTGACATCCATTAAGACCTCGCACAGAGCAGCAAAAGAAATATCCCACAAAGGTCGAAAAGAATTCTTACCTCAACGTCAATTGTGCTGGTTTAATCTGAAATCACTTGCTTTCAAACCGGCCAATTGAATAGTAGACTTTTTTGGAAGAGAGATACAGGACAGTTAACCATGGGAATAGGACAGTATAAATATTGACTAATAAACAGCACCCGTGGAAGTAGTGGGAATTCTTAGGTCACCCAATGATAATAGAGTTCGACTCAAACCATCTTTAGTAAACTAAAATATTTTATGGACAACGTTCCTTTTCTTATTATTTTCCGTTGATATGGAATTACTTACTCAAATATTATACTAGAGACTCTCTGGCAATGATTAAAAGCAATTAAAATGGCATCTCTTTGTTGAAGAAGGAACAAAATAAAGAAATGAGCAAAACAATTAGCCAATATTGAACACGCCATGACAATTAATTAATAGTCCCCAGAGTCTCATTCTCTCGTCAGCCATTAGGCACCACGCGAAGCCTTCGTGACTTTCATTCAAAAGGTACGTGTAACTGCTGTAAGCATGATCAATGCTATTTCAGAATAACAAAGTTCTATCTGACATGTTTGCTAGCGCTGGGCTGCTAGGTTCTCGATTATTGAAAGCTAGGATTCGTAGGAATCGACTCCGAACCCAATTACTTACTTTCTAATGATGTGATTTCTTCCGGTGGTTTACCTAATTGACTCCGAACATCTTCAGGATAACCTTGATTTCGGAATACTACGAAGCATCACATTTATATTTTTCAAAATTGAATTCGAAATATTTTAAAAAATAAGATTTTAATGATTAAAGTAACTGGTAAATGTTGGTTTTCGTGAAAAGGAGTTGGAACTTTTCTTCCGTAGCATTAATCGTAGGAATCGGTTCCGGAATCAATTCTTCGTCCAGCTCTAATGTTTGGCCGTTTTGAGTTATTAAGACCATGAGATTAGAAACCAAATGATCTATCTGCTCTATCAAAATCGTACGTTTATTCGGAGTTGTTATCAAAATATGCACAGAATAAAATTCGAAAAAGCTTGGAATGTGTGAAGCTCAGAATCTTTGACGTCAAATTTTCAAAATTAGGTACTATGCAGATATTATAACTTAGTAATTCTGATGTAATGGAAGGGCTAATAGCTGCGTTCACGGTAATGTGAACGACTATTCGCGAGTGCCACTTCATGTCATCAAGCTAATTATGCCACACGCGACGGAACAGACGGGATTATTGCCTAATGTTGGAGGACATAGGTCACTAGGATGACCATCTAGGCTGACCAGTCGGCCATCAGACCCAGCGATGAGTGATGAAACCCCTCACACGTATAACCACAATTTCAAGGTACCAACTGTATGTGATAAGTGAGCAATGATACAGCCACCGAGTCAGAGAAGAGGAAGGATAATCACAGGTCGTTGTTGTAAGAATAGCGGAGCTATTTATAAAGTATTAGCGACGTAACGAGTGGGTTAAAGTCTGTGACCAGAATTATTCACCCACTCACCCACTCACCCACTCACCCACTCACTCACTCACTCACTCACTCACTCACTTACTCACTCACTCACTCACTCACTCAC